GGACACTTGATTTGTCAAGTAAAAAATTAATATAACTTATAAACTATTCGAGATACGATAATGGACATTCAGGTCGTTTTTATAAAGCATTAATTAATCTTCAAAATAAGCTAAAAACCAAGTTTGTAACTGTTGTTTATCAGCTAATACATGCATTTGTTTATAAAATTTTGAGATTTCTTTAACTTTTTCGTATCTCTTATGACTTACAACATAATAAATAATTAAAATACAGCTATAAACCTTAAAACAATTTTGTTTAGCGATACATTATCTCCCAAATTATCAATTAATCGTACCTCCATCTCTAATTGTTTAAACAATATACGTGATTTAATTAATATTTATTTAATATTTATCTAACACTTACCTACATTTTGTAATTTTTTAATTTTCTCTACATTATTATAAGTTATTGTAGCTTCTAAGTGAAACTGATTTTATCATTTATTTAAATAAATAGTTTCTTCGATGTCATTAAGTATTTTTTTTCATATTTTTTGTAGTTTGATCTGCCGTATCTTCTAAATTTTTACATGTTAACCATATTTTTATATATTTTATTATAATTAAATAGAATTACATTTATTGGTATGAAAAAAATATTAGAAATAATATTAGGATAAAATGGATTTATAAAATAAAAGTCACTGTTTTATAATAATAATTCTAAATATATTTGAGGAAATAATACAATGCAATAATACAAATTAATACAAATAGTTCGTTTCCTTCTTTTCTTTAAGGGAGGGATTGCAGAACAGCTTGGTCTATCGAAGTTTTGAACTGAACTAGTTGACACCTTTTCTGTCATATTTGAGATGGAGGTACGATTAATTGATAATTTGGGAGATAATGTATCGCTAAACAAAATTGTTTTAAGGTTTATAGCTGTATTTTAATTATTTATAAGTTGTAAGTCATAAGAGATACGAAAAAGTTAAAGAAATCTCAAAATTTTATAAACAAATGCATGTATTAGCTGATAAACAATAGTTACAAACTTGGTTTTTAGCTTATTTTGAAGATTAATTAATGCTTTATAAAAACGACCTGAATGTCCATTATCGTATCTCGAATAGTTTATAAGTTATATTAATTTTTTACTTGACAAATCAAGTGTCCGGTGCAACTTTGGTATCGTGTAATATTTAAAAACGTTATAAAAAATAGAAAAAAAATTTTTTTAGTATTTTGATATATATGGCTGTTTTTGTTATTTTTTTTAGCTCTAGAAAAAAAATATAACGGTAGTTAGAATTTGTTTATAACAAATTGTTAAGTTAAGAAACAATGAAATTATTGATAAAAAAAAAATTTTTTTCTATTTACCTATGAAGAAATGCCAATTATGATTTTTAAAGAGAAAATCATTCCTTAACTAATTATTTAAACAATCGAAATATAAAAAAACGATTATAAACAATAAAAAAAAATATTTAAGAAATTTTTTTTTTTTAAATCATTATTTTGCCAAGACAACATAATGGTAAAAAAAAAATCTTTAAATATTAAACTTGTCTATTTGTTTATAAACAATTTCTTAACAAATGATGTAAAAATTTTTTTTCTTATGTTACTTAATGCCATTGTTGGATAAGAAAGCAGCAATAATATAACATTTGTTTAAAAAAAATTTTTTAATAACATTTCTTAGACTTTTCATTTTTTGTTAACTTTAAAAAATTGTTATAAACAAAATAATTAACTTTAATAAACTTTTATCGCGGGATCTTGTTAAGTATATATATAAGAAGAGCTCCACAGAGCCAAAAATTTATAGGTTTATTATTTAAATTTTTATGTCGTCATTTATGAAAACGGAGATAGGAAAAAAATTCGTTAATTAACAATTGCATAACTTTTTGAAAAATTAATTTAAAAATTTTTTTCCAACGGGAATATATTCTATCAAGTATCTGGATGACACCATAATTAATTTAAATTTTTAAATTCATATTTGTTACTATAAAAAAATAATTTTATGTAAGAAACTGTCTTTAACGGCAGTGCGCCCATGCCGTAATGGCTGCGCGGAGCCCTATTTTCAGCGTTAAATTAAAATTATAAATAATAGAGGTAGAGTTCCGGGAGCTGGGACTTTTTTTCGGAAATTTCCTCCTCTTTAAGGACCTTTTTTCCAAATATCGTAAATATTAATAGTTTATGAGTTATTAACAAAAACGTAAATACCTCTTTTTTTTCATCTTATTTTGTTAATAACAATTGCAATTTTTTACGTGCAGTAAAATCCTCAAAACTCATTTTTCTAGAGGTCATTCCGAATCCAATGAGCTATTGCTCATATTTTTAGGAGCTTTATCTCTATTTTTCACGTTTTTGAACTTGTTGACTGGACTAATTGGCCGGTAGTTTGCCGGGTCTGAGCGATCCCCTTTTTTGGGTACCGGTTGCACGTTAGCATCTCTCCAAGTCTCCGGCACACGCCCCAAAGAATACGAGCACTGGTACAAACGCGTGAGCACGGGAGACAACTCCGCTGCACATTTTTTCAATACTACTGCTGGGATGCCATCAGGTCCACTAGCTTTCCGGACGTCGAGTGATTGCAATTCGGCACGAACCTCACGCTGCCTGATTTTGATATCAGGCATCGTTGTGCCACAATGAGGTAATAATGGTGGCAGTGCATTGCAATCATCGATTCGGGAGTTAGCCGCAAAGAGTTTTGCCAGTAAATCGGCTTTCTCCTGCGGCTTATGAGCTAGTGTTCCGTCTGGACATCTCAGAGGTGGCAGCGAGGGCTGGCAGAAGTTCTTTTGCACGGCCTTGGCCAAACGCCAATAGCTACGGGAGCCCGTAGGATGCGTTATAAGTTCGTGACCAACACGTGCAACGCGCTGGGCATCCGCTCTGATGTATGCCTTCTTACAGGCCTTGGAAGCAATATTGTAGGCTGCTTTTAGTGAATCGACCCCGGGATCCTTAAGAGCGCGGCCTCTGATCCAAGCACGATATGCCGCTTGCTTACGCGAAGCAGCTTCAGCACAGTCGTGATTGAACCAGAGGTTACGTGTGCCCTTACTGATGAGATTGGAATGAGGAATATAGTATTCCATACCCATTACAATCTCCTCAGTAATAGCAACGGCGCTGGCCGATAGGTCCTTGTCATTGAAGCAGCGCTGCTTCCAAGGGACGGACGCAAAATAGTCACGCATACCGTCCCAATCTGCTGACCCATAGTGCCAGATCCGGCGTTTTACCACCGTTGGACGCGGAGGTTTAGCCTGTGGCGCTTTGGCAGATATCAGGCAGTGATCTGAAGAGCCCAGGGGGGCTCCTACCACAACCTGATAGCCCTGTGGATGGGTCGTGAGCAGAAGGTCCAGCAATGAAGGCGCTTGACTTGAAATATCTGGAATCCTGGTGGGCTGATCAACCAGTTGCTCCAAGTCATGCGTGAGAGCGAACGCGTGAGCAGAGATCCCTGCATGGTCAGTTTTCGAGGAACTTAACCACAAATTGTGGTGAGCATTAAAGTCCCCCAAAAACACCAATTCTGCATTGGGAAATTGCTCCTGCGCGTCATCTGCTGCCCGACTAAGATGTTCGAAAAGTCGAGTTGTCTCAACATCACCAGTATGGGATCTGTAGAGGCACACGTAGACTCTGGCCTGGCGACCTGAGTCGACGTGTACCCCCAATATGGAGAAGGTGGGATCTTCCAAGCAGCGGAGACGGCGACAACAAACATCCGCCCGAACATACAGGCATACACCGGCTTTCGCTTTGAAGGACTCTTCAAGCACGTAGCCGGGATAGTTAAGGTAGCCTGTGTCAGCAGGCGGAAGTATTTGTGTCTCCGTCAGGAACAACAATGCTGGCCGTGCTGTCTCAAGGTGGTGGTGGACAGCATTGAGGTTAGAGTGGAGTCCGCGTATGTTGCAGAACTCGACCTCAAACAGCGTTGAAGGCGTGGGGGTGTGCACCGCTGAACGTCCAAACTTTGTTTTAAGAGCTGCCATTATGGAAGTAAAAAAGAGACGTGAAACGAGTAGACTTTGTCGCGACAAGACCGGGCAAATTAGGAAGGCATGTTTCCCCGAATGATTGCCTACAGAGGATATACGCCGACCCGCCGGACGGAAGGGCCCCCGCACCCTCCCGGAAGTGGCCGCCGGGACCCCACGCCCCGGTCACCAACCGGCACGACGGTCCACCCCGAGATTATGCGTGACATGATAGGGCAGCCTCGCGAACTGGTTAGGAACGCTCGGGCCCCTGTACTGTGCCACGGGCGGCCAGCGGGACAGCCGTTTCTACGGGTCTCCCTGGCCGGCGGGTCGATGCAGTCCTCCCGGCATCGGTTCGACGGATGCCTCGCCCTGGACCAAATCCGTCGCGACAACCTCCACTCGAGCCCTGGTTGTACGCTGGCTGACCCCGAAACGCGCGAGAAGCACTTCACGGGTTTTTCACCATGCGCACGGTGGTAGCAAACCAGGCGGGTGTTAGGCACCCTACCACCAGAGGAGCGGATGGAAGCTCCGATATCCCTTAGTCGCCTTTTACGACACCCACGGGAAGAGAAGGGGCGGTGAGTTGTATTCTTTCTCCGTCACCGCACGGATAAAAAACTATCCCTTATTTAAATAAGAATTCCATTTAGCTACATCATTCATATAAAGAAAATATAACTAGAAAAAATTCCACGCGGACCAGGCAGCATACGGGACCCGCAACCTGTCGCAATCTGGGCGAATGCACTGACCAATTATGCTACCGCGGTCCTCATGGACCGCGTTGAAATTCTTCTAGCCATTCTTAAGCTAATCTCTTCGCATTATAGGTAACCCACAATCTTCTTTCTTCTTCTGCGTTCTTTGGATTTAAACATCAAGCAGTTACATGCTTTAAAATAATAAAAATTATAATCTTTCATGTAATTTTTAACTACCTGTATGATCAAATATGTTTATGTAAATTAGTAAAACTTACCTTTACTTCTCAATAGCTATGTATTGTGTATATTTTCACGAGCTGTATGGGACAGAAGTGGTTTAAATGAGGTGGTTGTAAGGAACTTTATTTAATTTCAATAATTACAGGTTAAGGAACTCTGAAATTTATGTATACTTTCCTTTGACATGATTAAAATAGGCATACAATATAAAAAGTTCAGCTATTTAAAATGAAAATAAATATGTGCTTCTTCTGAAAAGTAATGGTTTGTCCCTTACGCCAATTGAAATTACGGTTGAGGATATGGATGGACAAATGTACAGCAAAACTATATGGGTTCCCCTTCCCCATCATCCCTTTTTCCCTTTTCATGATCTAAGTAATAGTGTGAATATAGTACAGTGAATTCAGTAAAGGGGATGATTAACTGATTTCACTACAATATTACAAGCTACATATATGAGTATATTAGAAACTAAATATAAAACATCAAGATTATTAAAAAACAAAAATGCATTTAAATCTCTTTTTTATGTATTCATAATAAATGTATACAACTATTTTGTATGTATCTTAAAATATCAATTGCTATTTACAATTGCACAGCATTACAGTAAAGATCACACCCACTCCACTCATTTAGGGTTGACTTTTCTGTTGAATGACTATACAAAGATGAAATGTCATCAGACATATCAAAAGAGAACATGCGACAGATTCATAAAATTTTTGGAGCTATTGAAGACAGCCCTTAGTGTTGTTGTTAAAATTGTATAATTTTCAGTTAATATTATTTCTTCATGATATATGCAATGATGATCCAAATAATTGATATCAGACTACTGTTTACAAAAGAGAAATACCAACAATATTGTTGTTATCTTTCGTTGTTGAAACATAACAATAAAAATATTTTAATAGGGTCTGTTATTCATGTAAGGTTGTGGGCGCCGCATGGGGGGTGGCATTCTATTGGGTGGAGTTATGGAAATATCTAAATAATAACCAATCTCAAACTTCACTTGTGCTAGTGTCTTATTGTCATCACCACCTCTTTGTCCAGAACAAGTCACTCCTATTTCTCTCATGCGATATGTTGGTGATCGCAAATCTGGATATACAATCGCAAAATCAAAGTATGTTCCCTTACGTCTGGTTTCAGGGTTCACTTCTTTCACAAGCCCTGTCAGTTCACGCAAGGTTGCATCCATCCACGTGTATATTTGTAGCTCATTTTGAGGCACATTTCCCCGTGCATAATCCCCCGGGGAATTATGGCGACCAGTAGAACAAAACACACGGAGTAAAAGAGGACAAGTCTGAAAAAATAAAGAGGCATGAAATCACTATGAGGAAAATTGTGCAATCAATAGTAAAAAAGTAGAGCATAGGCGTTCCTAGTATACCTTTTCTCTGTCTACTGGTTTTTCGACAGTTTTCACTTCTTCAACAACCATCGACTCCAAGCCCGCCATTTTCATAGTTTGTACTAAAATATCACTTAAAAATAGGTGGTACTCAATGCTATTTCGTTGCTTTATTCTGATAGATATTTCGGAAAAAGGAACTGAAATAATTGACTAGATCCCAAAGAAAAAATAGGTACAAATTAGCCTTAGAAAATAAATACCACTAAGGTTAAGTCTCAGCGTCTTTAGTATTTTTTAGAATGTCAAATTTGAAGTAATTGTCAATATCAAAATTGTTTCTTTTAATATTCTATCTTTTCAGGGAAGGCAAAGGGAACAATGCACATACGGCCTAGTCTTAAGTTTCATTATTCTTTTTTCACGTTAGAATATCGGTGTGACGCATTCTACTATTTCTTGGAGTGTTTGGCACGAAATGTTAGCTTTTTCGATAAGCTTCTGTGAGGTAATCAACACTACAATATAAAGTTCTTATGGCTGGTTTACATTTTCTTAGCGTTTAGTAGAGTGCTTTAGGAGCGTAATTTGGTAGAAACATGTAAACGGTAGCTTCCAGTGACAAGCTTTAGTACGATTCCACTCGCCTTTCAACTAGAAACATAATAGGATCGGTTTCTATTTCTGTTTCCAGTGGTACCCCTCCCGCGCTCGCTCATCCTAACTACTCGCAGTACTATCCTTGCTACTCACAGTGTGTAAACGGACAATTCAGTCAACGTTTAGTAGAGTTCATTAGTCAGAAGATACGACTCTGAAATTTGTGATTGAATATGTAAACCACGAATGTTTGTGGAATGCAAAAAGTAATGTTTATAAAAATAAGCAGGTCAGGCATACGGCATATAGTATAATAAAAGAGGCAATGGATATTCAGGATTTTGGTTTAAACGAAGTAAGCTTTTAGCAACAAGGCACTTGCTCCAAGTGTGGATCTACGACTAATCCATTTGCGTACACATATACGTTTTGGTTTATATATTTCAACTAAAACGTCTTCTTCTATTTGTTTCATTACAATACCCAGTATATTTCACACAAAATAGCGCGTGTTGCACGTTGCTCGTCAATCCTGGTGACGAAATAGCACTCTACTGAAACAAGTGTAAACGGCCACTGGAATTTCACAAACTCTACTAAAGCCTGCTTTACTCTACTAAACACTAAGATAATGTAAACCAGCCCTCACGTCCACCAGACCGGAATAGCCAACGATATTAAATACCCTAGCAACTTACTTAAGCACTTTTTGATTCACAGTCACGCGCGACCGTTGAAAAGTCAAGATGCTGCAGAGCTCCGTGAAAAAGTGCGAAAAAAAATACTCATAGTACGTAGTGTCGTTTTTTCAACAGGTATCTAATCAATGTTTGTTAATTTAACGCATTTGAAGCAAATTTCGTTCTAATATAGTTCCGTGCTATAACTGATATAAAATATTTGTGATATTCGAGTGCGTGATCGGTTATACGTATCTCTTTTTCATTTCTTCATTTCATTCTTTCTTTCTCATATCTGCTATATTGCTAACAGCGCATTCAGAATTGCACGAAGATTCAAAGAAATAAGGTCTATATTTTTTAATTGTTTTATTTAAGACCTTATACAGTATGAACTAAAGGTTAATTTCAATGTTTAAATAATGCTTTATATTGTTTTTGACTACGCGATCATCTTACGGAGCTCCGTGGAACGTCCTATGTACTTTTGGACAGGTATCGGCCAAGATTTTGTTTGTGACATTGTATCTAGGGTATTTAATATCGTTGATTAATCAGCTCGATTAAATAAATCTAAAAATTTTTTTTACTAATAAATTGAGTAGGGTTTTTTAATTCAATAAAAGTATCAGGCAGATTCAGAAAATAACTTTATATGATGACAAGATAGAAACTGTAATAATGAAATGTAAAACATTTAATGTAATTATGCACTATAACTTTTTACTATTAATTATCAAGTATTAGTGGAATCTTTAGATTATACGCTATTCCGGCCAAGTGGACGTGGGAACTTTATTGTAGAGTTGATTACCTCACAGAAGCTTATCAAGCAATACATTTCGTGTCAAACATTCCAAGAAACAGTAGAATGCGTCACACAGACAATGTAATATAATATAAAAAAAGAAGATTAATAAAACTGATGATTAGGCTATATGGCCAGTGTATCCTTTGCCTTCCCTGAAAACTAAAAATATAAAAAAACACTTGACCTATGTCAACTCAAAAGTGACATTGTGTTTGTCTACTTGATATTTTGTTATTTATGAAAAAAGTTAAATCGATCGATTCTTGCCATAAATAATTTAGATTTCAATATTGTACAGGTGCACAATGCATATGTAATCAGGAAATTAAAGAACAATCAACATATTATATTCGTTCGAACCCGGTACCATGGCTCACAAAGATGATGAATCCTTCCCGGATGAATATGTATACATCAACTCAGAAGACGGTATGCCCAACATTCATCCCAACATCGCCAATTTAGAACATGAAAGTGACGGCCAAGACGAAATTGATGACTTGGATGATTTGCCTAAATCAGTTATAGTTACCAATATTCATAGCACCGTTTTCAATGATGAGAATCTAAAGAAAGAGATGGAAGATCTTTTCCGCATATTCTCAGAAAATACAACGTTTCAATGGCTACGGAGCTTCAAACGTTTACGTGTTAACTACGATAGCCCATTAGCAGCTGCAAATGCTCGTGTTCAGTTACACCAGTATAAATTTTATGATAACCGTATAAATTGTTATTTTGCACAGCCAGTGACACCTGTATCACTTAAAAATTTGAGGCCTCCAGCACCTGTTAAACAGTTCCTTATTTCCCCGCCATCTAGCCCTCCCATTGGTTGGGAACCTAGAGAAGAAGGTGAACCATTAGTGAATCATGATCTTCTAGCAGCTATTGCAAGTTTGTCACCAGGAGAGAGTCATGAATTACATGCGCCCACACCGACACAGCCAGCCATTATTGTGCATACTGCTCTAGCAGTAGAAAGCAATGACTCTGCAAAGCTTGGACGCTCAATACCTCAAACTCGCTGTCCAAATCATTGATACAGCAATGCCTATTTAAATATTCAGCAATAGTTTATTTATAAATTAGAGAAAAAGAATGGAGCTTTTGAAATCATTCACATGTCAATTGTAGTGACCTGTGATGCCAAAGAAATGCATTGCCCATATTTTTCTTTTTTAAATGTATCCTTAATGATATATACAATAATGTTGTTTTTAACATAAAAATAATTTCTCTGGTAGCAGTGTTTAGTAGTTCATTTTATTTTGTGTATGTCTAATGCACTTAATTAAATTGTATTGGTGCTATATTTTGTAATGCTTGTAAAATAATGTTATCTGAAATTGAAAACATGATTTAAGCTTTTTGATTATTTACAAAATTATATTTATTTGCATATTTTCTAAAATAATATTAGTAGAAAGTTTATGTTTCGTTTTATTGGTCAAATTGAATAAGAAGTAATATTAGTCAAGACTCTGCTTTGAACACCAAATTGTAAGACTGGTTTTTGTCTCTGTTTTGCATCTAGCCTTATTAGTAAATGAAGAATATACAGTGGTAATAAGCTGAAACCAGAAACTGACTAGTATCTTTTTCTGAAGCCAGAAACTGAGTTCTCTTAACCCATGTTGAAGTTTGATTGTGAAAACAGAAAGTTAGCAGTAGCCATTTTGTAAGCAACATAATCAAACTTTAATATGTGAAAAGAAATTATTTTGTATTGCCTGAAAAAATGTCTTCAGTTATTTATGCCAAGTTTTGTTCGCATCATTGAAATCCGATTTGTAAATGGTGCACTGTATTAATTAAAGCTTGTTTTTTGTTTATTAAAAGGAGGCTCTAGCGTCTGTACTTACATTTAATTACCTTTTAGTATTCATTAACTCAATGGAATTACCATCTAGAAGTCTATATTTGTATATGTCATGTTTGGAAATTTTTCATATTACTTTGATGGCAGTTTTCAAAGTTCAAAATTTTGCGACACACAATAAATAATGTCTCATTATATATTTTACAACTATGTTTTTATTGAAACCTAAAATATTACTTCTTGTTTTATTATATAGAAGGCATTATATTGTTTATGTGATTTCCAAAGCTATATAAAAGAGCCTTGTAGTAAGGAGAAGAGAGATAATACCTATATGTTTCAATATTACATGGAGATTTACATTTGTTCAAACTTTTAATTTAAAAAGAAATTCATGCTCTTTAAAAGCAGTTTAATTTAATTTGCTTGATAATTATAGCTATAGATAACTTTAACTGTATCATTGTTTAAAAACCGACTACTTTATAATTTTGCCTGATGATGTTAATTTAGAACATTTTTGTAATCCTATTATAACATGAGAAATTAATGTCGCTATGTGTCGTTGTTAAACTTTGCAATTCAAAATTGTTTGCAATTGCGTCAGCTGTTGCTAAGGTCTCTAGGTATTCGCAATCCCGGCGATTTACCGAACCACTAAGCTACCGTGATAGAATTGTTAATTTTGTCAATGCAATGTTTGTTTACTGTAAATGAGTAACAACATTATTATAATGTTTGTTTGTTAAAATAAAATGTTGAGGTGGCATAAAAACTGCTGTTTATACATATAGGTACATATTTAAACTTCTGTCTGCCATGGTTTCTTATCACTGGCTTAATGTAACAGGTGATTATGAAACACGGCCTTTATATTTCTTTTCGATTCACACTTAAACTTTAAATTTTCTACAGCATTATATTTTTACTTAAAATTCAAGATCAGCATTAAATACATAATATTGAAGCAATTTTGTGGCGTTCTAGTCTTTACCTATTGGTTTGGTTCCACAAATGTTTTTTTATATTTATTGGGAAAGAATTATAATAAATGAGGCATGTAGTATTATAAATACTTTTGTGATCTTATGTGAAAATTACATGTTAATATACTTGTCTAGTAGGTATTGTTATAAAATGTAAATATTTTGACGAATTATTTTTGCAACAAAAATAAAATTAGAATAAAAGAACATTATTTATTTAAGTAAACCTTCAAAACTTGGAATATATATTTATGTACAGTCGCCATCAGATATATCTGAGCATACAAGGTGACCAAATACATCTGAACAGTTAAAATGTCATTAAGTTCTATACGGTACAAGTGACCATAAATATCTGAACATTCATTACTTCAATAATATCTGAGCAGATGCCTGTCAATAATATCTGAACATACAACTTTTCAAAAATATCTGAACACGTCAATGATTATGTATCTACGCAGATCATGCACTGGGCTTACATATTTTGTTACTGCGTGATTGAAAGAATGAACTAAAAACAAAGGCTAAATATAAGGAATAAATACGATGAGAAGGGAATAAAAATCTATCAGAAAATCATTCGTGTAGGTCACCACGAGTAGTAGAAACTCAAAATATGCCTAATTTTTTCTCTATTTATTTTTTATAATTAACGAGAAGTTATGTTTTTATTTTATTCTATAGATTAAATTCTCAATATCTCCTTAGAAATTTATTTAAAAAAAAGACAACTGCGTTTTTTAACCGCAATAGAAATAAGTAATAATTTGGAGGAAACATTTGTCCCACTATTTCCATTGCAGTGGAAAATGGAATTCTGTACTTGTCATGCTCAAACTGGGCGCCATCCTTACAAAAATTTTATTTACTGTCTGAGTGGATGTGTTTATTTGGTTTGGGTATGTATTATTTATAAAAGTGAAAGTTAATAAAAAACAATTTTGATTCTTATAAATTTTTATTGAGTTAAATAATCAAAAAATGTAAACGAATTAACTTGGTACCTACCTCAGTAGATGCTTAAGCTTAAGTATTTATTATTATAATCGAGATCGAAATAAAAAAAAGCAACTTCTGATACAATGAGTTTAAAATTAAATAGTAACAAAATGTTTTATTCTTATAATTATACATGAGATCAAATCAAAAAGTTATCAGGCAATTAGTAAGGTTCTTGAAATTAGCGTATTATTATTAGCTTAATAATTTCCCAATATTATCAATGCCCGTTTAGACGGGAATTTCTGACAGACGTAGACGGCCGTAACGTATATTGTCGACTTTTCAACAAAAACGCAGACCAATAAGTTATTTTGCTCACCATTTTTAGGGTTCCGTAGCCAAATGGCAAAAAAACGATATTCATACAAAAATAGAAAAAAAAACGTATGGACTTAGAATTTTTTTTATCAAATCTTTACGTGTGGGGTATGGATAGGTCTATAAAATTGATAGGTCTATAAATTTAATATGGGACCCATTTCCACTAAATGTTGTTAGAATTCATAATGCAATAAGGTCGAAATTTTAGTTTGATAGTGTTTTGATGACATAATGTTATAACGAATCGACCCTTGAAATGATAACCACTTTACAAAATACTATTTCGTGTCAGTGTCAGTGAAGAAAACAGTTTAATGTGACATTTTTACAAAGTATAATTCGGAAACGGAACATAACATAACATCGATGCCATGCCATGATTTATGGGTTTACGGTTAGCTAAGATTGTAAACATCAGTTTAGAAACAAGTGTGGCATGAATAGTACTTTGTTTTTTTATAGTTCTAAGAACTTACAACAAGGCATTTTAAAATCGCCTACAAAGCAGTCATCTCAGTTTTATGTCGATAAAACGAAAAGTATTTACAATTTTGATAAACAGTTTCTTTTTTCAAAATGTACATTAAATTTGCTTTAGAATAAACAAAAACTAATCACTAGTTCGCATACAAGAAAATAATATGAAAAAATATTTCGTTTGAATATTTGAATTTAGAACGACCGTTACACTGCGCGGCTTTTGTTTTTTTTTATTTCTTCAAAAATACTAACGCAAGAGATTCTCTGTATTCGAAATATTAATCATGGATAATGTATTCAATAATTATAAATTAAAACATTACAATTATTATCGAAATTATCACCATGAAAACATAAGACACAAACCCTTTTTTTTATTGTTTTTTTTTTACGAGGGATGTAACAAAAAAATTATAAAAAAAAAAACACGTAAACCCGCACACGAAACATCAAAATAGAGTAACTTAATGTATTTAACTTGCCCAGAGATGGTGTTTTTTTAAAAAAAAACCACTGAAAAACACTTTAAATAGTCTGAATACACGGCATATTTTTTTTCATACAAAAAACGGCGAACGACGAACTTCCACAGACAACAGTATAAATATTTCATATGGCAGTTGACTTAATCAATGGCTAGATAGCTAGCCTGTTCTTTCCTCTACAAATTGATATAAGCATGTAGGTGATAGCCATAAGAAGGAATATTTTAATTGCCACTGATTACGTAGAGTCGCGCGATGCCGATTTTCGGCATGTCATCACTTGACGGTTTATTGACAGATGCCGACTTTCGGCATGTCATCACTCGAAAACATGTGTTTTCTCCTGCTAACCAATCTACAGTACAGACATGGATTATGAAATCTTGCAGATCCATGTTATTGTGAGCTGCCTTTTTATGATTTCATTTTTGACCATCATCATTTGCATGCCCTTTTCCCAATTCTATTTGTGGTCGGCGCAACATGTCTTCCGTTCCCATTCTCCTCTATCACTCGCAATATCAACACTCACTCCCTTACTGGCCATGTCCTCATTCACATAATCTATCCATCTTTTCTCTCCCCGGGTAACCCTCCACTCTCATTATACAGGTTGGCTTATTGAAATGGGTCAGGATAAGAAAGTCTGAAACTAAAATATATATGAAGATCTGTGCTGATTAACAAGATTTTAATAAAAATAAAAACTGCATTCATACATTTAAGAAAAACCCTGTGATCAGCACGGGAATCAAACCCGGTCGTTTAGAAAAAAAAAACTTACACTATTTAAATATCGATTATGTAGGTCTGAAGCAGTAAATGTTTCTATTAAACGTGATGTCTAAAATGAGTAAAATGCATTTTTGTCAGATAATTTAAATTATTTCAGTAGAGGTTCTAAGTGACCACCGTTTTTTTAATACAAAATTTAACACGTATAGGTAACTTATCTTACTAATAAATAGAAATAGGAAATAGTGTTAGTTTTTTTTTCAAAACGACCGGGTTCGATTCCCGAGCTGACCACAGGGTTTTTCTTAAATGTATGAATGCAGTTTTAATTTTTATTAAAATCGATGACATAGTTCCTAAGAACAGATCTTCGTATATATTATAGTTCAGACTTTCCCATACTGACCCATTTA